GCTCGATCCGGAGACGAGCGCACTAACCATGAGGCCACCGCGCCTCCCTTGGTCACTTAGATAGCCATGGTAAGTTTTTGGTGTACCACGGATCGGATGTACACCAACATGGCGTTTTCATACTGGGCTCTGTAAATTTCTGCGAAACATTCGACGAATATCTGAAGTTTGGGGAAACACACAGGCCTAAAACTTGGAGAAGTGTCTTATTTAGTTATCTCCTATAGCGTACATCACAATTTCTTAGCTTTTTCCATTGTTTGGTTTTCGATTTATTATCTCTTTTATTGCGTGACAGTGAAAACGATCTGTACCCTTCGAAGAACAAAACAGCAACTGTGGAATGTTTTTTTGCAAAATGATAAAATATATTTTTTAGTTCATCATTTTTGTTCATGTTCTCACCTTCCTCTGATATAAATCCATGCCATTCCTTATTTTTTGATCGGGATCATTTGCGGTCCAATATGGGGATCATTTCCGGTCCGGGATCATTTGCGGTCCGGGATCATTTGCGGTCCTGGGATCATTTGCGGACCCGTACAGAACTACCCCCCGGGACCGGAACACACCACCTTATGTTGCGGTGGCTCTTAAAACAGAGAACTTTTGTGAGCTATTTTGGTAGTATCCATTCAAACATGCTTTGATGATCCAAAACAATTACGCCTTCATAAAAACTCAACAGAATGCAGTCCAAGCGTGCGGAAAAACAGCGGGGTTTAAAAATGACACAATAGAAAGCTAAAGGAACATTGTAATATAATGCGAAAGTATCACGTGTATCCCCTGTAACATGTTTTCAAATTTTGACTATATTTCTAGGTCTTCTAGCAATGTAGCCTGGCAGTGGGTGATTGTTAACAAAATGACAGCCGCTTTGCGTTTTCCCGGGGCGTTTTCGAAGTGTCGATGAAGGGGATTTAGATCAAGTCTTCAACGACAAATAGATTTATACTAAAACAATTAGGTTAGTCGTTTCGTTTGAGCCTATCGAAGTCCAGCTGGTCGTGTGAACCGCACAAACGCTGACTGGGTGACGTACATTCCGGTAATTATCGTGGATACTTCCGGTTCTTTGGAAGCCATGCATTCTTTTTGGGTAATCATGCCTTTTACAGGCCTTTTCAGAGTTTTAATCTTTCTCAAAATCAGACCTTTTAGAAATGAAGCAAAATCTATGCACAGGAAAATGAAAAGTTAAATTAAAATATTTAATCAATAAAAAAACGTCTGATAAGGTTTTAAGCTCAGTCAGTCCCTTGGACTGGTGACGTCATTGCTGGCGTTACCGTTCAGGAAAAACGTAAAACCCATGAAATGACTCGAACATGACTAAATGTGACGATATTATGTAACAAATAAATTTTCCTTAGCAACAGCTTCTAAATTATTAATTTAGAATAAAAATTAAAATCAATGTTCTCTCAAGCTAAAGCAAGCATCAAATGAGTTACAGCAACTGTACTTTTGTAAAACAAACCTCCAAAAACAAACCTTAAAACAGGCTGACATGTTTCAGGGGCACCCAACGGATCGTTTCGGTAAATTATCTGTTCGGAAGGCTTTTAATCCCCTCTGATTTTCTTGAGAGAATTGGCACCTCGAACTT